TTCGCTTGGACGCAGGGCTCCACGACTTGTTGGGTGGCGTCGCAGCAGGACCCCTCACCTCTGTCTCAACCCATGGGCGTCCCCAGGACACATGCCAGCAGCAGTATGACGCCACAGGGCACAGGTGAGCATGGCTGTGCTTGACGACTTGGCAAGGTGCAAGAGTGGTGTATCACTGAGGAGGGTTATCGGAAAGTGGGGCCCGCAGGAGCGGTGTGTATGCTGTGCAGAGGCAGCGGGCAGTTGGCAGCGTGCGGTGCGGCCGTGGGCAATTACAGAAAGCGTCGAGGGAGCTCGCCGAGATGAATGCACCAGTTCCAGGCTTGGCTGCCAGGTGAGGAGTGAAAAGCGGACGACTCGGCGGAGAGCAACGATTCGATTCCGGCGTCCAAAGGGCGGGACGGTGCCATGCGCTGGCGCTAACCCGACTCTAATCCCTGACCCACAAGCTTCTCCGCCGTCTTCACACACCCCTGCCGCGCGCATCCACCACTTTGCTCTTAGGCGCAGCGTTCCCCCCAGCCACAGCTGGCTACACTCTCCTCCCGACACCCATGACTTCTCCGGCCCTCACGACAACTGAGAGCCTTCCAGCAGACGCGGGCCGCTCGGGCCCCTTCGACAACCCGCAGGAAGACGCCTCTGAGTTTGGCGAGGAAAACTCAGAAACCAATGACGTCGGCGACGATCACGCACCGAAACAGCAACCCCAGAAGCGACGACGAGTGACGCGTGCCTGCGACGAATGCCGGCGCAAGAAGATCAAGTGCGACGGCAAGCAGCCGTGCACCCATTGCACTGTCTACAGCTATGGTATGTCCTGTGTGTACACTGAATTGCGTGGGAGAATGCAAGCTAACAGCCTACAGAATGGTAAATACCCTCTCCTAACGGGTTCGCTACTGCTCACAGAACTGACCCCCTCTAGCACTTATGACCAGCCCTCAAACCGCCGCCGCAATGCGACGCCCCAGTACATTGAGGCTCTCGAAAGCCAGCTCAAGCGCGCAAAGGCGCTACTGCACGTGGTGCTGCCAACCGTGGATTTGAATGACCCCGCCATAGACGCCCACCTCCAGAACGGCCTGTTACCACAGCTGCCCCAAGCAGCTGCGCGGCCTCCCGTGATGCCTGTAGACCCCCGGATCGCGCAACACCAGGCACCGGCCCACAACGAAGACCAGCCCGATTCGCACCTGGAAGCCATGGTGAAAGCGACGGGCCAGCTTGATCTCGACGAAGAGGGCAAATGGGACTACCAGGGCCACTCTTCAGGACTCAGCTTTATGAGGGGCCTGCGGCAGTTCGATGACATGTTCCAAATCCCTTCGGACGAGTCGCCGTCCCTCCGGCACCAATCCATGTCCTACGAACCGCCGTCTCCTTCCCTTTCAATCGCTGGATCCACTACAGCTCCGTCAAACGTGCCCCTGCCCAGCCAGGAAAATGCACGCATTCTCTGTGACAGTGCCATTATCCAGTATAGCGCCATGCTGCGGGTCGTCCACCTCCCCACTTTCTACAAGCAAATGAGCCGTCTCTACGAAGTCGCCCCCGAGAATTACAGTAGTGCCGAGACTAGCTTTCTACCTCTATTCTACTCCGTTCTAGCTTTGGGCAAACTCTATTCCGAAAATGACACCGGGGTCGATGTAGCAAGCTACGACATCCTTACCGACGAGGGGTACGCAGCAAAGTCTCCCTGTGCGAGCTTCGTCCATGCTAATGCGGTCCAGACTCAAGTACTTCAAAGCTTCGCGCCAGCTCTTGGACATTACTGACTGCAGGGATCTGACTTCACTTCAAGCCATCATTTTCATGATCCAATTCTTGCAATCGTCAGCCAAGCTTAGCACTTGCTATGCTTACATCGGAGTTGCTCTGCGCTCTGCGCTACGCATGGGCTTGCACCGTTCATTCAACGTCAAGTTCAATCCCATCGAAGCGGAAACACGTAAACGCATATTTTGGGTGATTCGAAGGATGGACACATACGTCGGGGCCATGCTCGGTTTACCGCGATTTCTGGACGATGAGGACATTGATCAAGAGTGGCCAGTTGAGGTCGATGACGAGTATATTACGGAGACGGAGATTCTGCCCATGCCCAATGGAAGCATTTCTGTCATGGCGGCCTTCAATGCCCACACGCGTCTCGTCCAAATCTTGAACAAGATCTGCAAGTACGTGTACCCTATCAAAGGCACACAATCAGGCGCCAAGAACTCTGTGACCTATTCTGTGGGCTACTCCAAGATTCGCGAAATCGAACAGGATCTAGCAAGATGGCTCGATGAGCTGCCTATCGCGCTCAGGCCGGGCGGTGACGCCCCTCCAATCATCAGGAGGTAAGCTGACTATCTAACATCATTTTTGCAGCTGCTGACATATACGCAGGGTGCAACAACTTCTCCGTATGGCGTTCGGACATGCGCAGCTTTTACTCTATCGGCCATTCCTACACTACGTTTCGCAATCGTACAACGTGAACACCGTGGACCAGAGAGCCTTTGCCTGCGCTTCTGCCTGCGTTAACGTCTCGCGCAATATTATCCACATTTCCACGGAGATGAGAAATCGCGGCCAATTGGCTGGAGCATACTGGTTTTCCATGTATACGACCTTCTTCGCTATTGTATCAATTTTGTATTTCGTCTTGGAGAACCCACAGAGTCCCACCAGTTTTGAATTGCTACGGGATGCAGTGGAAGGGAAGGACGTATTGGCGTACTTCGCGAAGAGGAGCCTGGCCGCTGATAGGTGCAGCACAGCACTAAAGGTAGGCACAGCACTAGTTTCTTCTGACTGACAACACTAATAATGTTTCCCAGGGCATGTTTGAACGTCTCCCGGAATCAATCAGACATGGTGGAGAGATCATTGCATCGAGGAAGCGCCGACAAGGAAGCTCGCCGCACTCTCTTGGCACCCGCCCTACCTTTGGTCAGAGCGACTCTGCCGCACCCCGCCGTGCGAGTACCTATCCCGATAGCATTCCTAATGTCAAGACTGCTGGCCAAGCCCAGTCATTTGAGTCTGGCGGCCCTGACTTTGGTAGCATTGGCTTGGGTTCTTCTTATCCCGCACACTCGATCTCCAACCCAAATCTATTCGATGGTGTGCCTGGCCTTACACCTACATCATCCAACGATAGCCTACCGAGCTTTGGCTTGGCTCCTATTCATGACTCGCAGCAGACATCATCTGCCTTTGGGCCAACAAGCCTAGGCAACCCTTTGGCAGACCCGTCCGGTCTTAATGTCCCCATCGCAGACATCTCAACAATGATGTTTCCGTCTGCCGACCCGCTCGCCTACCCCAACCAGCCCATGACTGCTTTTGAAAACAAACATCCACAAACTTTCGACCGCAGTACTGGCACCCCGGTGAGCGGACACCCTCCTCAACTTTCGACCAGCATGGAGATGAAAGGACACCCGGCCATGTTTGCTCCCACGAGCACGCCCAATTCGCAAGCTCGACCCATGGACAGTGAGGCGCAGATCTTTACTTCCATGCCCATGTATTTCATGCAGGGTAACCAGCAATACCGCGGATATCCACCTCAGCAGGGTATGCCGATGCAAACATCCAGCAACATGCCTTTTGATGAGCTGATGCATCAAGAAGACTGGTCGCAATCTTTTATGGACCCTGCAATGAACATAAATGATGGGAGGTCATCGCTGAACAATGCCCAATTTGGCCAAAATGGATGGCGTTAGTTCGTCGACTCACACAACGCGGACCACTGGACGGGGCTATCAACGCTTTAACGTTTGTTTTCTGCTTTGTTGTGAAGCATGCTGAGTCCCATCTATCGATGTGCATCAGTTTCGACTATGAGCGGTGCCCTCGCCCGCGCCCTCCTTCCCACACAACGATTACGGCCGATATTTCCTTAGTACACTGAGCGTTTTATTCCGGCGTTTGCGAGTCTACCAAAAGCATTATACCCCATTGTCAACCGGCTGGCACCGATGAGCTAAGCGTTTTCCAACGGTATGCGTAGGGTGAGGACAGAGCCTCACTGACGTAGTTGTGACTTTTCAGTCCACTACGATCGCGACCTGTCCAATGCATTTCAGCACTGATTTTTTTTTGCTTTGAAGACTTCGATTTGGATTTGGCGTTCGAAAAGCTAGACTTTTTGAGCGTGACGGACCTCGCGGCTGCGAGTGTAGATTGAGCATCTCATGAAGATACTCATGAAGGTTGGAAGAAGTGCGTTGAAGGACCACACTCATTTTGTCCGAGCCAGTAACGGGTAACGCCGTAGATTAGCAAATTGACTGAAGGCGATACCTAGGTATCGCGCGTAGCTTACAAAGACTAAAGTACAACGCACATTGTTGAAAAAGCTCTGGCATAAACACCAGAAGCTGGCTGAAATCCATGTTGACCTAGCTTAGTGAACGGTAAGCCCACGTCAGAGTTAGGCTAGCCATAGACGCACGAAAATTGAAAGAGAAGCCATGGTCTTAAAACGAAGCCTCAGTGGAGCCTAGCACAGACACCCAGCCACCATAGTAGGCCGGCGGAGCGGGGTAAATCCCATGCCGACTTCCAAGGCCGTGCCTAGACCTCCACCTTCGGCGCCGAAGCCGCCAAGTGTAGCTCAACGTGGGCCAAGCGCTAGCACCCACCATTGAGAAAACGGCAAGTAGTGTGGGTTAGTGTTTACCGACAATTGGGGTCTTGGTTACCAAGCGGTTTCCAAGCAGTCTTCTGTGTCCCAAGAGATGGTATCTAGCGACCTTCTTAACCAGGTCATCGGGGCTGACGGACTAGATCTTTTGTACCTTAGCGAGCAGTTGGCTAAGAGATTAACAGGTTTTGGAGGGTATCGTAGTGAGGACTGTTGCAGGACCAAGGAGGATATCGGCTCGTGGTTTACCGGAAGGAACATGGAAAAGTGTATATCTAGGCGCGGTGACGCTGGATATGTGAGGTACCAGGAACATCTCGCACCATTGGGCTGACGGAGAATCGCTATCGTCATGGTTCACGTATCTTCGTTGTCGGTTCTTGGCTCTGCCTTGGTCGGGCTGAGTAATGCGGCCGCCTTGGGTACTGCGGAGGAGTATGCTGATGGTACTGTGCATGCAAGGATCATGGGGATGAAGATCGTAAGGCTTCCTTGTCGGTGCACGCTGGTACATGCTTATACTGACCCCAACAGGCACAATGGGATGCTGAGATTGCCTCGGGAGAGATGGATAGCACCCGCTACCCTGAACTAGGTCACACGCCATGTGAGAACGGCTTCGCTGCTGCAATCCCTGGTGACTTCAACAATACGTTCAGGTGCCATAATGTCAGTTGGCTCGAGGTTCAAAGCTCATCAGCTCGCTAATGTGTATAGATCGACCTCTACCATTTCCTCCCACATTCCCTCCTTGGCAGCTCTGATGGACAAGGCTCCTCTTCTTGGGGCTGGACGTCAGAGGATGGACGCGAGTTTGTAGCAATCGGCCAGTTCGACGGTACCGCCTTTGCAGAGATCAGCAGCGAAGGAAAGCTGATCTATCTGGGCCGCCTGCCTCCTTTCGACCCTATCGGATCCCGCTGGCGCGAGATTCGCGTGATGAGGGACTATGCCGTCATTGGTAGCGAGGCCATCAACCACGGTGTTCAAATCTTCGACATGAAGAAGTTGTTGGACCTTGACGGAAGCGAGCCGATGAACTTTACCCAAGACGATCTGACTGGCCACTGGGGTCTGACTGATGACTGGAATGCTCTCCCGGTTGGCCGAACCCACAACATCGTTGTCAACGAAGAACTCAACTACGCCGTAGCAGTTGGATCAGTTGGCGGTAACGAGACTATCCGTGTCCGTGGCGATTTGCCATGCCGCGGAGGCCTCATCTTCATCGACATGAGCGACCCTGAAAACCCGACCAGCCCAGGTTGTGCTTCTGCTGATGGCTATGTCCACGATGCTGAATGCATCGTTTACCGCGGACCAGACACTAAGTACTACGGCCGCGACATCTGCTACGGTTACAACGAAGACACTCTGACCATCTACGACGTAACCGACAAAGCCGGCAACACCACCAACATCATCTCTCGCACCACATACCCTGGAGCAGAGTACGTCCATCAAGGTGTCGTCAACAACGCAACCTGGCAGGAATACATCTTCCTCGACGATGAGTTCGACGAGCGTGACGCCAAAGTCGGTCCCATGACACAGGGTCTGCCTACCACCCACATCTTCGACATCCGCGACCTGGAGAACCCCTTCTACTCTGGCAACTACGAGGGAAAGCGCCGCAGTATCGACCACAACCAATACGTCGTTGGCGACTACCTCTACCAATCGAACTACGGAAACGGTCTCAATGTCCTGGACATCCACACCATTACGCAAGATCCCAGCGGCGACAGTATCTGCGAAGCCGGATTCTTCGACATCTACCCCGAAGACGATGAGAACGAAGGTGGCGGCACAGTAGCCTTCCTCGGCTCCTGGTCCAGCTACGCGAACTTCAAGAGCGGTTTCATCTTCGTGCACACTATCGAGCGTGGCAGTTTCGTCGTCAAGATGTCTAGTAAGGAGTGTGCGAAGCCAGCCGTTTGCGAAGTAGACTCTTGTCTTACGTCGATGCGCACAGCAAACGTGGAGGGTAGACTTCAGGCTTCGCAAGAGTTCTGCGGTAACTTCACTCAGAGGCTGATTGATGATGTGCGTGCCGTGCCGGAGTTTGCGCAGGAGGCTTGTGCGGGTGAGCAAGTGGTTGCGCAGGTTAGCAGTGCGTGTGCTTGCTTGCCTACGCTTGCTGTTCCTGAGTTGCCAAGGACGACAACTAGGGGGCCAGTGCCTACGGTGCTGCCGCCGAGGGTCTAGATGGGACAGGCATGATAAGGGCCTGATGTATTATGACAGTGACGGGCTTGGATAAAGTCCCTTTAAGAACAGAGAATTCGAGATCCGCTTGTCAAACAAACATCGAGATGTACTCGCCGCGCGTGAATGCATTGGTGATTTAGTGCCAGTCACGGTTGAACTCGAAAATACGGATTTATACAACAATAGATTGAGATGTCTATTGCTGAGCAGCGTAACTGCTACGAGGACTAAATATTTACTGAAAGAGGAAGATGTACAAGAGAAAATAGAAAAGGCCACAGGCCGCTCAAAAGCTACTTCACGGTGCTACAAGGTATAGCACTCGTCTCATTCTGGAACTTAGCAAGAAGCGCCGGTAGGGATGTTGAGGCAGCTAGTGCTCTTCTTTCCGCCAGTGACGCTGTTACCGGTCCAGGTCCAGTTGGAGCAGCTGCCCTTACCGCAAAGGATGTAGACATCAGTACCCTTGGCAGCAACGGTACCCTTGACATTCTGGATGGTAAGGCCAGTGATCGGGACACCGGTGGTGGGCTTGCCAGTGGGAGAGCCGTTCTGGTAGTCTTGCTGGATAACGATGCCGTACTTCGCAATGTTCTTGAGGGTGATGTTCTTGTATGTGACACCAGAGACAGCACCAGTGGCACCAGACACGGTCTTGATACGGACACCGTTGTCAGAGTTGGTGATGGTGGAGTCAGAGATGATGACGTTCTTGACGGTGTTGTCGCTGCGGCCACCTACAGAGCCGATGGAGATACCGTGTCCGCCAGAGCAGGTACCGCCGGTGAAGTGAATGTCGGTACCGGAGTTGACAGCCAGGCAGTCGTCCTGGTTCTTGATGTTGGCATTGGTGATGTAAACACCAGTGGAGCTGCCAACGTCGAAAGCATCGGTGTTGTGACCGCCGTTAGTGACGTCACCAGCAGTGTTGTCGATGGTGATCTTGTCGAGGGTGAGATCCTGCGCGCCGTTGATGGAGAATCCCTGTACAGGGGTGTTCTTGACGTTGAGTCCAGTGATAGAAGACGAGATCATGGAATGGGCGTAGAAGAACTTGCCAAGTCAGTTGTAGCTCAGCAAAACATCAGTATCAACATACCTTGGGCTTGGTCTTGCCGCCATTGCTTCCCTTGCCATCCCACCACTTAGCACCATTTGCGTCAATGACATGGCCAGCGGCGCCAATGACTTTGATGTTGGTTCCAGAGACAGAGATGAGAGGGCCCTCCCACTCCTTGTAGCCGAAGGTGGTCGTGCCCTGGAAGGTGACGGTGGTGCCTGACTTGAGCTTGGTCAAGTCAAGGGTCGTTCCTGCTGGAACAGTCATACCCTGAATGACAATAGCAGAGCAAGAGGCCTTGTTCTTGATGGCTGTAGCAGCATCGGAGAAAGTGCAGCTTGCACGGGTGTCAAGACTGGAAGGAGCAGCCGAGACGAGCGCACCAGCGCCGAGAAGGAGAGAGGTAAGGGTGAAAGCAACCATGATGAATGTAGCTTGAAAATGGGGATGATTGAAGTGAATGTGAGGCTGTTGTGTAGAAAATGAATGAATGAGTGAGTTGATGGGTGCTGTAGAGACGTGCCGCCATGCCCTTTATACCAGGACTTCATCGACAGTCGTACGTATTGATAGGTGGAGCCATCGGAGGATTCACACGAGTCGTCGACAAGCTCAAATCCCTTGAGCTTGTCATTGCTGGGCAAGGCTTGTCATCGCAGAAGGTCTAGGGTCCGCGAGAAATGAGGGCACAAAGCGGATGGCGCCTGCGCCGGTGTTCTCGCAGCATGTAACAGGTGGATCCTCGGTTGGGGCTACTCCGCTTTGTATAAATGAAACGAGATCTGGATGTGACCGAATCGCAGATGGTGGTGGGCGATCTCTGTGACAATTCTCCGTCAAATCGATTGCCAGCCTCGTAGCGCTGAGCAGAATCTCACTGCAACTAAGCATACAGCTTACCCAGAGTTGAATATTCTACAGCACGCGGGCAATCTGGACTACTATCAGGTGTTCGTGTCTTGCCGTGTTAGATCAATGGTGAAACGAAACAACTGGTCCAGACGCGTGGCGCCGCTGTCGCGTGGCGCAAAAGGTCAGACGCCATTGCGGATACAGAAAGCACGTTCACGCCGCCGGCCGCCGATTGATGGAATGTCACCAGCCACACCGTGAGACCTTCGTAGGATTGGAGCGATGCGCAGGATTGACGGAGAATTGTTTGAGTGAAAGGACAGCTGCATGACTTCCGGAGGGGTTTCTGGAAGCGAATCCGGATTAGCGCCCGACTAGCGTCCCGTCACCGAAAGTAACGGCAGCGACATCCCGCACCTGCATGAACCCTTTTCCATCTCATCGCCATCTCTCTAGTCGCGCACTGAGAGACTGTTACATCACTTGTATTGCATCTGCATCAACATAGTCGTGAACTCGCAGAACATTCATTGCAGCACGACTCCGGCTCCCAGGCACACGGTCCGCGAACCAGTCGGACACGGGAAGTAATTAGGTATAGCCTCAAATCTCGGATCTACCCCTAGATTTTTCACCGCCACGCCGCTCTGGACACTATGAGTAATCATCGTCGCAGCTATGCTCACGATTTTCGGACGAAGAAACCACCTTGTGGCAAGCCCTCTACTAAAAGACTCCAGGCTACCCAGTTGCGCAACAGCATAGTCGCTATCCGACGCACCGCTCGTCCCATACCTTGCGCACCTGCTATGGCCGTCTTTTCATCAATGATCATGAACGGTCCTGGTTCTGGTTTCACCAGGTAGCGTACTAACCAGTCGGCGCACCAAAAGAGATACAAACAGCGCGTCCGAAAGACCTGCAGATCCATCTCTTCGATCCATGGTTCCGCCACAATCTGCACTTCCTTGAGCCCATCGATAGCGTTACCGAAAGCACAAGCTAAGGCAGCCATCGACGGAAGCGAGCATGCGTCGTCTGTGAAACCAATGCCGATGAGTTCCAGATAGTGCCGCTCCAGCATCTTCGCATAATTGCGCAAATTCGCGGTCGAAATCAGATCTCTGGTTGCATACGCAGAATCTACGAGAGCTGTTGCGTAGTGTGCAACGCGACTCGACACCAGGTCTTCGCTTAGGTCTCGAATGGACTTCCGTGCCCACTCCATGTTCTCTTCCATAGGGGACTGTGGAAAAAGGCTGGCCCCAACAGGCAGATGAACGTCGCGGCGTGCTTTCAGAACGACCTTATCTAGGAAGCTGGCTGCATTGGGATAGCTGCCTTCTAGATACACGTCGCCCGCCAGTCTCTTGATGTCAATTGGCAAATGAGCCAAGTTTTCCTTCTTGTATGCGTCAAATCGCTTGTCCTGCAGATGCTGCCGGTCTGGGGGAAGAGCTGGCGCTGGCGGTACGTCGAACATATCAAGTTTGGTGAAGATGGCGTTGATTGAGACACTGTCGAAAAGGATATCGTGAAAGTGGTTGGCATAATTTTCGATGGGAAAGCTGGTCACCAATTCTGTTAGTGATGGCTTCCCACGAGACTCGTCGCCTGTTGCTGCATTCAGGAGGCGAACGTCTTTGTCCGAGATGGTATTCAGATGGACATCCAAGCTCTTGCTCTCACGCATCGCGTCTGGATCATCGCAGACGTAATATAACGCCGCGTGTCCGCAGTCGTAGAGTATAGTAACTGGTGAGCTGGCTTCAGTCCGCTTTTGTACTGTCAGCGCTTCCAGCGGTCGGGGCGTGGCATCGCCTGTCAGGAAGACACTGTGTTTCCCCGAAGGACCGGTCGCTTTATCATCGCGCATTTCCCACACTACCGTTATTCGAATATCATCGAAGAAGTCACCTACATCGCCCTCAGAGTAGAAGCTTGGTGTATCGCGCGCAGTGTCGATTGGGGGTCTCCATTCATGTTGGTGTCCAGTAAAGGCTGCGTTGATGGGACCGCCTAGTTTGAAGGCAAGGAGCGCGACCAAGAGAGGGTGTAACGCGTCTTCCCCGGCAGGCATTGAGGTAGAAAGCTCAAGCGGACTAGATTGTGGCTCGGGCGACGAATCCCCACTCGCAGCAACTTGCTCCTCGATCGGCAAAGCTACAATCTCCTCGTCTTCTTCGACACCAAAGGTGAATGCGACAGCCTTGGACCTATCCAGTGTCTGCGCCAGAGTCCTGAACTTCTCGACTAGCTTGAAAGCAACATCGCGCTGAGCAAAGCTTTCTGTCTGCGCACACGCTGCAACGAGCGCATTCAGCATATTGCGCCGATATTCAGTTTTCCTCGCACACGCTCGGGCATCTTGAGGTCTCTCTTGCAGTACTTCGGTATGTTGGCGGCATGCAACTCTATCTGTCACCTAAAGATGGATGTACGAAGTCAGTGTTCATCTCACATGCAGTTCGTACATCGGAAATTACTCACGAGCCGACCCATGAGTTTGGTAGGTACCTGGAGAGCGACATTGAAGCGTTGCGGTCGGTTCATGTCGAGCTCTGGATCCACTAGTAGGATGGAGTATATTGTGAAAGTACCCAGCGAAAGAGCTGTTGAATTACTGGCGGTTGTCGCGGTTGTCGCAGTGATATCGAAATAAGCTCGTCGGAAGAGTGCGATTGCCGTGAAACCGCAATGTAAGTGTAGCGCCAAGCTACAGATACAGGTAGTTCTCAGGGTACAGGTAATGTTTCCTTGTCCAGCTCTTTCACCTGTTTAGCCTCACTTACTGGAAGCCAACAAGCGGTTTGAGACTGTCAAGCACATCGCCAATGTCTCACCCCACAATCAAACGCCTCTCAGGTCTTGGTACCACGTGCATCCGCTACTCGCAACATCCCGTTTGCAGTCTATCAGCTTTGCGGTAAGCTTCGTCGCCTCGCGATGCGGAGGAATTGCGCTGATTCAGACTCTGTTCATTCTATCCTTGGTCGTCAAGGCTGCAGTAGGTGTCCTCCAGACAGACAACATTCGGATGTGAAACCTGGTTGTCATAGGGAGTCAGATGCTCACCTTCCCATTC